CATGATAATGCTTAATTTCTATATTAATTGACAATATGTTAAAACATTTTGGAAAGTTTCTCATTTGCAAGGCTCTCAGTATATAAATCAGCTATGAGATCCTTTTTCTAATCCTAACTATTTCTCCAATTAAATACATCTTCAGATATGTAGTCTTTAACCACTAGAGGCCAATGTAATGCTAATAAATACTGTATTGATGCAAAATTAAACATTTTTAGGTAATCCTGCTGGTCTATTACTGTAATTATAACCAAATTTTCCAGATTTCTTCAGGGAACACTATTATGTCACTTAGACAATGCTCTTCAATTTGATACAGACTTATCTCATCAATTCATTGGCTATTTTACAATGAAAGAAATAGCTATTCAATTGAGTTAGTGTTTATATTGCCCTTAGACAGTTCTACAGCATAAAGAGAGTATGCTGTAAAACTGACTAGAGCAGGAGTTGAAACTCTTTTGCTCAGGTAACTGAGAAAATGGTAAAATGATATTCCAATGGGTTTTTTTAAAAAAAGCATTTGGAAAAACAAGTTAGCATAGGACAACGTGGTGGCACAGGGGTTAGAATGCAGAATTTCAGGCTAATTCTGCTGACTGCCAGCAGTTCGATCCTCACTGACTCAAGGTTGACTCAGCCTTCTATCCTTCTGAGGTTGGTAAAATGAGGACCCAGATTGTTGGGAGCAATAGGCTCTCTGTAAACTGCTTAGAGAGGCCTGTAAAACACTGTGAAGTGATATATAATTCGAAGTGCTATTGCTATTGTTATTAATAACAACTATTTAAGCTAGGCTTTATTTGACAACTTTCTGTATTATTGCAAAAGGCCTAAAACCAAGGAATTTTTTAATTTTTATTTTAAAGATGATGGTTATTCTTACATACATTTGTGTTTTGATACTACATGCATATGAGCCAAGAAATATGCCTAAACAATAAGGGGTAATTTGGATAGACCTATTATTGTCTTATAAACCTTACTCTAGTCTTAAGAATCTTTTTCCCCTTGCTTACAAGATTCTCTAAGTAGCAAATTATGCTCTATAGATTATTCAGTACAGTTATATTTCTGTATAGCTGTACATATAAATGTAGCCATTGAATTGTAAAGGTAGTCCTCGACTTACAACAGTTCTTTTAGTGGCTGTTCAAAGGTACAACAGCAGTTTAAAAAGGAACCTAGAATCACTTATGACCATTACCGCATCCCCATGTTCACATGATCAAAATTCAGATGCTTGGCAACAAACTCATACTTATGATCGGTTGTGCAGTATGGGGCCATGAAATCAACCTTTTGTGATCTTCTGACAAGCAAAGTCATTGGAGAAATCAAATTCACTTAACAACCATGAGCATCTGCAGTGATCCACGAAACAACTGTGGTAGGAAAAGTCGTAAAATCGGGCAAAACTCACTTAACATTTGTCTCACTTAGCAACAGAAATTTTGGGATCAATTGTGGTCGTAAGTTGAGGACTACCTGTACTCTGCATACATGCTAGTTAATTTTTTCTACAGAGGTTCTCGGGGAGTTGTATTTCAAAAGAAATCTATACTGAAAAGGGCTTCATAGAAAACTCTATGAGATGAGTAACCTATATTTACAAAAATGAAAAATGCTGGAATCTTGGAAGCTGAATCTTAAGAGTTTGAACAGTTGAGAAATCTGATAAATTCTTACTTTCTTAAAAGTAAAGTGTATTTTTAAGATTAATATACCAGAACTTTTCTTTTTAGGACTAGTGCATAAACAGAAAAGAGTCACAGAAGATTATTTCAGTGTATGACTACTGTGGAGAGATTACTATATGCACAAAGATGGAAAGATTCTTACCATGCAGGAATGGTTTCTGAACTTGGTGAGATGAACAAAGGGACTTCTTTGATTAGTAAAAGGTTATTACTGACATTCATAAATGACTGGAAGCCGCTTATAGATTTTTTTTTGGTATGAAAAAGGAAATGATTTTGAGACATGTTTTTCATTATTAGAATAATAGGCTATAGAAAGAACGGAATTATAATGTAATCTTAGAGGGGATTGAATAGAATTGTATGTATAACTGCTGAGAAAAAAGTAGGAAAACATTTCTTTATTTTTTTCTGTTCTTTTTTTCTTCTTTTTTGTAATATATCCTGTTAGGGATATCCATTAGGAACATACTGGGGTATTTTCATTTTTTAAAAAAAATCTTTGAGTGACTCTTATACACAGCAGGCATAATTCTTGATTTAGTTAGAGCTGTATAATCTGCGGATAACACATTTTGTTGAATAAGAAAGCTACTTCCTTTAGTGAATGGTACTCCTCCTCCTTTGCTTTTAGGAAGTGTACATTACTAAAATATTGTGTTCCTAGCTCTTTGTAGTTCCTTTATGCTCTGGCTGATTGGCATAAAACAAGTCATTTGTTCCCAATTAAGCCGACGATGAGGAATATTTTCAGTGTCCTTATTCTTGGTGAGTAGACAATTCCCTGGTTAACAAACCCAAGGACAGTGAGAAACAATAGCTTGGGTGGTAGAAGAGATATATCACAGGTAGAAAATCCCATCCTCTATCTAGTTAAAAGGCACAAATGGCAGAATGATTTTCTGCCTGAGCTCTTTGAGAATTGCTACCGAAGTAGATAAGATGCTCTTAGAAAGCCAAAGCATTTGAGTTGGTAGACCATGATCATAAGTCTCCTGCTGGCAGAGTTAAATAACTCCTAGGAAATCTATTCTCTTTGTTAGAGAATATAGAAAGAAGGATAAAAAGGAAAAAGTGTAAGGAAACAGAAGTGAGAAGCCAATTATCTTTAAAGTTCTCAAGAATACTATGACTAAGTACAATTGTAAAAATTTGTTTCACTGGTCGCATTTGATGTATAAAATAAGATAGTTCAGCTTTATACTTGAGAATCAGATGCAGAATAATGGGTGACTCAGTTATTGTTGTATTATTATGCAAGTTTACAATAATGGCTGTTCTGACTTGAATTGATTCTAAACTCTTAAATGAAAGGTCAGGTTCTGTTAACACTCAATTTTGGATTGAGATTATCAGATGCAGCCAGTGGGTGAATTCAGGTCTCAGCAATTAATGTGTTTTAGGAGTATTTTGCAAGGTTCCTAGAATTATAATGAATTGTATGACAAACTGGAGGATTTTGTCACAGCCTTTGTGTCTATTGTTTGAAACCCTCTAATTTTTAAAGACAAATTTACTATGTATATAAACAAAAGCAGTATATTTCATTACAATGCTGATATGATTTGGGGCGTAGTCTTTTCATTCTGATGTAACAATCTACTCTATTAATCATTTTTCTTAAGATTACAAGAATCCTATTTCTAGTCCAAATAGTAGGTATTTCTTTATTGTAACAATGACAATTCATGTTTTAATTAAGTCATAAAAAAACGAAATTGCAAATCAAGTATATGGAAAAGCTATCTAGCATAAATACAAAAAAGCTAGGGAGCCTGCCTTGTATTTTGAAAACATCCAATATACTATAAACTTAATATTTCATTTTTTTCTAGGTATTGGATTTGCAATAGTCTGTGCAAGTAAAAAAGGTAGAATTTACATTATCTTCTGAGAAGTAGAATAAAAGTGCTATTAAACACTGGCTGAGCTATATTGTGAGGCTATATTGTGATCATCTGTGTCTTTTTTGCAATGAACTTCAGTTTCCATTATGGTGTTTATCTATAAGATTCACTTTAAAATTTTTTATCATAGTTGAACAAACATTAACTAGCATCATTGTTTACTACCACCACCATCATGCCAATTTACTGCATCACTTAAGATTCTTTCTTTAGAAATGGACCTACCATACTCAGTTCAGTCTGAGAAATTTAGTAGCATGGTATGTATTACTAATATAGTCATTTTATTCCATACATATATAGACAGTCAAATCTGTATCTAAATTTAAAATCTCATATTAGTAATTATTATGCAGTCACAAGTGGGCAACCAATAAGCCATATCCATTATCCGTTTCAGAATCCAAGTGAA